ATTCTCTGGATGAACCGGGGTCATATGAAGCTTTGCCATCAACAGGCGATGAAAATCAAGCGTCTGCTAGTCAGATACTTCGAGGCAGCGATGTATTTTTATCACCTACTATACAACGCTCGCCTTCATCGCGACGGGGCAACAATAAGGATGATTTTCAGAGTCCAGAATCTCGTCCTCTCACCTCTCCAAGAAGATCCGCCGATGTTTCTCCAACACGAACTTACCGACCCGAGAAACCCAAACATGCTGCTACCACAGGTTCCATGGGGGACTCAGACGCCAGGCAAGGAGCAATATCATCTGGCCCTTCATTACAAAGCATTGTAAAAGCTGGATCATATCCTTTGCAACGAGCTGCAGGTTTCGCCGGCTATCTTAATAGACACTCGAAGAAGATGAGCTCGTTGCTGGCAACTGAGTCTATGGGCTATGTGGAAAAGGTCTCAGGCATGTGGAAAGGGGGCAAGATGCACTATGAAGAATCCCATGGAATGCCACGTGATGACGAAATGTCTAACATGAAAAACGATGATGATAACCGCGATGGTGTTACACACGCAGAGCGATTTCGCCAACACTTTGCCTTGCCTCCCGACGAGAAACTCCATGCCGCATACTTTTGCTCTTGGCAACGCCTAGCCTTTCTATATGGCAAGATTTACCTTAGTGATAGATCTTTCTGTTATCGAAGTCTGATACCAACCGTAAAGACCAAAATCATCATTCCTTTGAAAGACATCGAAAACGTCGAAAAGGAGACATCATCTAGATTTGGATACTCGGGACTTGTAGTCACTATCCGAGGACATGCGGAGATATTCTTCGAATTCGCTTTAGCTGAGGATCGAGATGACTGCTTGGTAACTCTTTTGCAGAATATAGAGACAATTAAGTATATGGACGAGTCTGGACTCTTGACCATGGAGGAGCGCGAAAATGCAGAGGTGGCTAGTGCTGAAAATCAAGCTTTAATTCAGGCACGGCATGTGCTTCATTCTGAAAATGATATCAGCGATATCGGTACTCCCAAGGGAGGCGATACTGGATCACCACCAATATTGTTCGACGATCCGAGAGCTTCGATATTGAATTTCAAACCGACAGAGTCGCTGCGTATCACTTGCTTGACCATTGGCTCTCGTGGTGATGTTCAGCCTTACATTGCTCTATGTAAGGGTTTGATGGCGGAAGGTCATAAGACGAAGATAGCCACTCACTTAGAGTTCAAAGACTGGGTTGAGTCGCACAATATTGAATTTGCGCCAGTTGATGGTGATCCGGCCGAGTTGATGCGGATTTGTGTCGATAACGGAATGTTCACGGTCTCATTCTTGAAAGAAGCATCTTCAAAATTTCGGGGTTGGATAGATGATTTACTCAGCTCATCGTGGAAGGCCTGCCAGAATTCTGATGTCTTGATTGAAAGCCCCAGTGCAATGGGTGGAATTCACATTGCGGAAGCTCTTCGAATTCCATATTTCCGAGCTTTCACCATGCCATGGACAAGAACAAGAGCTTATCCTCACGCATTCGCTGTTCCTGAGCACAAATACGGTGGCGCTTATAACTACTTGTCATACATTTTGTTTGATAAGGTCTTTTGGACTGCCATTTCTGGACAGGTGAATCGTTGGAGACACAAAGAGCTAGGTTTGCAAGCCACGAATTTGGAGAAGATGCAACCCAACAAGGTTCCATTCTTGTACAATTTTAGCCCTTCCGTTGTGGTACCACCTCTTGATTATAGCGATTGGATCAGAGTCACTGGCTACTGGTTTTTGAATGAAAGTTCGAATTATACGCCACCCAAAGATCTTACAGATTTCATCGCTAAGGCCCGCGCAGATGGCAAACGATTAGTATATGTTGGGTTTGGATCAATTGTTGTGCCAGATTCTGCAGCTTTGACTAGAATAGTGAGGGATTCTATCATTAAGGCCGATGTAAGATGCATTCTATCAAAGGGATGGTCAGATCGTTTGGATAAGAAAGGTGCCAACGATATTGAGGTACCACTCCCACCCGAGATATTCAAAATTAAATCAGCACCACACGACTGGCTCTTCTCCCAGATTGATGCGGCAGCCCATCATGGAGGTGCCGGTACTACGGGAGCTAGTTTACGAGCCGGTATTCCGACGATCATTAAGCCTTTCTTCGGAGATCAATTTTTCTTTGGTCAGCGTGTTGAAGATCTAGGCGTGGGTATTCTGTTGAAGAAGCTTAACGAAAGTCTTTTTTCCAAAGCTCTTTGGGAGGCAGCGCACAGTAAGAGAATGATTACAAAAGCCAAAGCACTGGGCGAACAGATTAGAAGTGTATGTTATAATTCGTGTACAAGAATAGCAATCAGTACTAACAACTTATCAGGAAAACGGCGTCGACACTGCTATTCAGTGTATCTACCGAGATATGGAGTACGCAAAATCACTTATCAAGCTCAAGGATGGAAAGTCAGATGATGATGCCTTGGAAGATTCGGAAGAGAGTTGGACATTCATAGGGGATGATACCGACCCGGAATCAATGAAACGAATTCATGATTGGGATACAATGGCGCGCTCGGGAACTTTGAGCGACAGGAACGCGATGACTTGGTCGGGCTCGGATTTGGCATCTAGGGCGTTATCACCGGCCAGAAAGGCGGCTTGAAATTTCTTTCCAAGGGTATACATAGCGTTAAGCGGGTCAATGGGTTGGATCGGAAGGCATGGAATTGGGCTAGGTATGTAATGTTTTAAGTGAGCAAGGTGTTGGAGGCTAGCTGAGAGGGTTTACGACAGTCTGCATATACGATGACTATGAGATAATGAAGTTTGTGTTAGTGACGGGAATAGGAATGGGATATAATCTACTTAATTTGTATTTAGCAGAGGAAAGTGCAAGATGAAGTGAGGAGGTTTGATTTTACATGAATATAGATAATAGACTACAATCAATGAACGAAGGAAAATATAATTATGTCCTATATAGATATGATTAACTTTTCATTCGTTTGATCTCCAGATAGGGGAGAAAGCCGGGCCCAATTTGCGGTAAAGGAGGGCCACTTTGATAGACTCCCAGTGAGCCGCAAATCGAAGCGTGCTAAAATAGCTCGTAGGCGGATGTTACGGAAGAGCTAATATTTCCGTAAGTCTAGAAGCTCTAAGTAGGTAACTCTTCGCCGAGGTATCTCTTCTTTGATGAAGAAAGAATGAGGTAATACTAAGTGAAGAGGTAAAAGAGCAGAGAAATAAAGAACTAACTAAAAGCATTTTAGACATTCAAAGAATATACACATTTCATCGCATGGCTGTCAATTAAGGCTTGGACAGGGATGAGATGCTCGATAAGCTGCAAACGGTTATATTCTGTAATGATTGGATGATTGGATGATTGGATGGATGGATAGATGAATGGATGGATGGCCTTATTATTGTACCACCTCCGTTGTTCGTTTGGATGTAACGGGTTTTGTGTAATGGTGGACGGGTGTTGAGGTGTGTTTGCTAGGACTAGGTATCAGGTTGTGAGTGGAGTGACTGTAGGTGTTGTACGAGAAGGCTGTAGGTATACGGTGAGTAATAGAGGGAGATGATTCATACTTATTATCTAGTATCTACAATGTATATCTGCCTATTAGGCATCTATATAAATTTCTACGCCTTTCGAATATATATAGTTAGATATATATACCCTCGAGGTTTCCATATCAATCTTCACATTCACTTCACTACATTCAAAACTCCCGACCTAGTACCTACCAGTACCTGTTTAGACCATGGTCACGAGATCTGGTCTTATTTGATCCACCTATCGTAGTAGGTAAGTGAATGAAAGAAAATATGGAGTTGTGATGAATGATGATGATATTTCGATGATGTTCATATGTTCATATGTTCATAGTCTCCTCATTCTTTTACTCATCCATGCAATCTTGATAGTAGCATCTTTTGATCCCGCTTCATGAACCAATCATTGTTCAGTCACTCATAGAATAGACATCAAGAGCAAGGAACAAGCTGATCACACATATAAAAAGTCCCCCCCTTCTCCTCCTTTGTCCAAAAATTCACTTGTTTGGGTGTGTATCTTAACTTTAGCGGTAAAAAGTTATCTTGCCTGTTCTTCCACCTATCTACACAGCCTCCTTGTGTTCTTTTCCTTCAAATTCGACATTTATTTATTGTTTATGCCTTATTGCCTTATTGCCTTATTATTTTAACTCAGCAAGGTGTACCTACTTCCGTTCACACAACTGCACACCCTTTATAAGCTTCCCTAACTCCACAGTAGTCGCGTTCGTGCGATCGATGTGAACATATAAAGTCAACAAACGATTCAACTTCAGAGCTCCAAAATCTACAATACCGCTTACTTTGCAATACTTTAAATCCCATTTTCGCAATCGCAACAACTTCACATCGTTTCGCACATTATCAGAAAGCTTCACACTGACAGAAACGCAATTCAAATTAAATCCCCAAGAATTCCTAATTGAAAAAAAAAAGGTATACATTTAAAGATCGCAAGATCAAGAAACCCATCATTCATCCCCGCCCATTTTGGTGGTTACCTCAACCTTCTTTGTGGCTTACAAGCTTAAATAAGGAAGAAGTGGTGTACATGGAATCTTACAATGCTGAACAACTTCACGCGATATTTATGAGAGCTTTCAAGGAGCTTAAATTGAATTCGTAGGTCTTTCAACAGCTTGTAGATATCTATTGTATCTATCCTTGAAGCTTGCTTTAAGCTTCTGCGAATCGTCCTGGAATTGTATTGCGCTTTGCGACGGCCTTTCACTAAGGTGCTGTGGCTTGCTTCTTGTCATATGCGATTTGCGATATGCGATTCAACTTCTCCCCGACCTTTCTTTCATCTGCGCGCGCATTCTACTTCCTTACCATTTTAAACTCACTTACTGACGATTCATCTTTCAACAAATAGAACCGACCCCCCCGGGATCGCATGATCACAAATCCAACGACAGCTTTGCGAAGGAGGATATCAAAATGGGAAAGACATTAACCTTGGGTCCGAATTTGAGGTACCCAATTACAATCACCAAGTTATACAAGAAACATGGCGATCAGATTTCGAAACGGGACTCACTCCTCGAATACAAATATCATTGGAAGCTAATGGTTGGCGATCCATTGGGCGAGCAATGGGAAGAAGAACAAACATCGTATGGAACATGGGATAGTCCTTCTGACGGGACTATCGAGAAATGGTTGGTCAAAGAAAGCATGACCATTGAGAGCGATGGACCTGTTGTCGATGTTGAAGAAAGTTGTTCGCATGCTGTCCAGTATGCGGGACTCTGTGGGATGTGTGGAAAAGATATGACCGAGGTCTCTTGGGCCACCAGTACGCTCGATACAGACCGAGCTAGAATCAATATGATCCACGACCAAACACACCTCACAGTTAGTCTTGACGAGGCTTCGAAGGCGGAAGAAGAATTGCAACGACGGCTACTTAAGAATCGAAAACTTTCGTTGGTGGTGGATCTGGATCAGACCATTATCCATGCTTGTATTGAACCTACTGTTGGAGAATGGCAACGCGATGTCAATTCACCAAATTACGAGGCCGTCAAAGATGTGCGATCCTTCCAACTCAATGATGATGGTCCTCGCGGTCTCGCATCCGGTTGTTGGTATTACATTAAAATGCGCCCTGGCCTTGCGGAGTTTCTCGCAAAAGTCTCCGAAATGTATGAGCTACATGTTTATACTATGGGTACTCGAGCATATGCATTAAATATTGCAAAAATCGTCGACCCTGGAAAGAAATTATTTGGTGATCGTATCATCAGTCGAGACGAGAACGGCAACGTCACGGCAAAGAGTCTGGCTAGATTGTTCCCTCAGAGCACGCATATGGTGGCAATTATTGATGACCGCGCAGATGTTTGGCCAATGAATCGTCCTAATCTTATTAAGGTTGTTCCTTATGATTTCTTTACTGGTATCGGGGATATTAACTCGAGTTTCCTACCGAAAAGAGAGGAGCTTCCTAAAATATCCACACCCAAAAAGAAGCATCACTCAAAGCCGGAGACCGGCACACTTGAGACGATCGAAACACCTATTGGAGAAGTTGCAACGCCTACAGAACCTGAAGCAGGCGAAACCAAATCTGCCGAAGAAGCCAAGAAGGAACCAGCAACTGAGAAACCAATTCTACCGAAACTCAACACGATAGACGATGACGCTTCATTACTTGAACAAGCAGCGGAGCAAGAGAAATTTTTGGAGCAACAATTAAGAGACCGACCACTACTTCATAAACAGGAAGAACTTGACGAAGCCGACAAAAAACAGGAAGAAGCAGAAAAGGCGGTCGAGGATGGCACGGTTGAACATCACACGCATCGACACAGTGTTCTTAAGGATGACGACGTCGAACTAACTTATCTTCAACAACATCTTACGGATTTGCACAGAGCTTTCTATGAAGAATATGATAAAGCTTTGGTCAATGTTCCAGGTGGACGAGTTGCACAACTAAAACCTGGTCATCAAAGAAAGGTCAACGTCAAAAGTGAAGCTGCCGACCTCAAAGTGGTACCTAATATTGCAGTTGTGATGCCGCGTCTCAAGTATGGATTCCCATCCCCAAAAGCGATGCCACGCAAGACGGATTTGCTAACAAATATTTAGGTCTCAAGTCTTAGATGGATGTGTGATTGTAATGTCGGGTTTAGTTCCTTTGGGAGTCGACCTTATGAGGTTAGTTGATACCACCTATGATTCTATTTCACAAGAAACTTTATCGTGTATATTCTCTAGCGTGTGGGGTTTGGAAACGGCTAGGGGAAAATCCATGCTAACCGAACTCAGATCTGAAATTGCTCAGCAGATAGAAAGCTTTGGTGGCAAAATTCATAAGAAGTATGTACTATCATGACGTTTTGAAGATGAGTCACTAATATGTTACAGGGTTTCGAAGAGAGTCACTCATGTCGTTGCCTCGTCACAGAAAACCCGTACACAAAAAGTTCGAGAAGCGGCAAAATATCCTCACATCAAGATAGTCACACAACAATGGTTGACTCAGTCGATGAGCAAGTGGAAGAAGGAAGATGAATTAGAGTATCTGGTAGGTTGAACTCCATTATTTTCTCATGGGCAATATTAATATATCCATTAGGTGGAAATAAATCCAGCTGATAGGAGACAAAGTGGCGATTTGACTAATGTTCCATCTCCTGGTGAAGATAGTGAGGAATCTTCAGACTACACCGAGAGTGAAGATTTTGAAGATGACGACACAAGATCTGAGCTAGATGGAGAAGGTGTGATGCCCGATGAACCACGAGGTGACATCTCTCCAACGACGGATCTCAATTGGTCATCAATAGATGACGAATTGGCCGAATTCATGGGTGATGATGAATCCGGTACAGAAAGCGACACAAGTTTCACCAGTAATAACAGTAACAACAGTCGAACATCGCGTACAAGTTCAAGAAGAGGACATAAACGAAGATTCGACGATGCGACGGATGAAGATGAAAGTGAAGAAGAAAGCACTATGGCAAAAAAGCAGCGAGTAGCTAATTCAAGAACAACGGGCCTGAAAACTGTAAAAACGCCAAATAGTACAACGGAATCGAGTCTTCTTACCCCGGGGGTTACGGGTGATGAAAATGACGAGGTTAATCAAGTTATGACGGAGGAAAGTGATCATAGTTTCGAAGATGATCTGGAAGCCGAAATGCAGGCTGCTTTTGACCTGGAACTGGAGGAAGAAGCGGCTGCTGCCGCCGGTTGATTTTGCTATTTGCATTGCATTGCACCTAGGTCGAACTTTATCAAGAGTCCTTGCTGTTTGGCATGAGGGGAGGAATTGCACATGACGAGAAAACGAGAACTCTTGTGTCAGCCATCATATCATTTTGAAGCGTGGTTTATTATTGATTTTAAGGTGTTTTGTGGATGGAATTTGGGAGACTGGGTGAATAGGAATGGCATGGTTGGGAATCGGGGTTGGGAGATTTGGAATTGGGATGGAAGTTTGGCGGGAAGGGAAGGGATGGGATTGGTTTTGTGCATTAGTTGGGCGTTATACGAAGATTGAAGAATTATCGAGTCTATGATTGAGATTGAAATGAGTTTTATGATGAGATGATTACGAGAGATTTGCATTTGAGGACGTTAATAAGGATTAATGTATTATATGTACTTGAGCATAGTAAAACCTCGATGTTTATTGGTTACGAACGCTCAGACCAAGTCAATTGTGCGGGTGTGGATCTCGGGAGGGCTACAAAATTTAGGCCTTGACTTAAAGGCATGAATAAATTAGAGCTTGATTGAGCGATAACATTCAATCTCGAAAGCATACCACACCACATTGAACATTGCAGACAACTCAATTACGCCATATCCTGTATCCTATCTTGTGACGTCGCGACAAAGGGATAGAAGAAAGAAGATCGAGAAAAGATAAAATAATTTGAGGGAAGAGAAATCAGCAAACATGCCTCAGGATATGCCGCCAAAGGGCGGGTACGAAGCCGTGCAGTATAAGGTGTGTGGTGGGATTTCCTTTTTCGTTTCTTTTGTTTCTGCGGAGGAGGAGAAGAGGACTGGAATGGGAGGTTTGGGGATTGAGGATTGAGGAAAGGAGGGGAGAGGGGAGAGGGGAGAGGGGATGGGGCATTGAGAAGCGGGGGAGACGGGAGATGGGAGAAGTATGAATTGCAATGGATGAATGATATGCCCGGAGGAGAAGCAGGAATAGGAGATGGGATTGCTTAGCTGCAAGAGGGAAGGAGGGAGGGATTGGATTGAGACGAGTACGACTATGAATACGATGAGGATGAGGACGAAACGAAAACAAAAATAAAGACGAAAACGAAGAAGATTACTGCCGGGACTGCGACTGCTATGTATTGAGATATCGTGAGGGAGAGTGCGGAATGAACTTTGGATGGTTGTGTGCCGGCATGTGCCGCGTGTTTGATGGTTGATATTGGGGGCTTATGTTGATCATCGGGACTGGGGAGTCAGAGCTGGAGTTTGGGCAATGATGATTGGAGAGATTGAATGGTACGGTTTGGGATGGAGGTGGTTAAGAAATGATTGCAGATGGAGGATGTGCGGTGCGGTGCGATGGAGGGGTTAGTGTGATGGGTTCGTGAAATTAGGAGATTGGAGGTAATGGAGGGGTAGAGAATTGATGTTCGATGTCTGCCAATGAGAATGAGGTGCTGCGAGTGGTGCATAGGGAGGGAGGAAGAGTGGTGAATGAAGTGGTGGTTTGATGGGATGGACTAGACCAAATCGTCGGCCTCCACGGCAGTGGCCCCCGGAGGGCTAGCGGAGCGTCATTCACCATGAGACCGCGAGATTTTCCAAACATCGATATACGACGATTGATCTCCATACGCATGTTACGACATTCCTTTATCCTCATCCTCATCCTTATTTTCCACCTTCCACGAGTCCGACGTAGATAGTCAGATGTTTATATAGTCAGATGAACAGAGGGGCGGAAGGGTAGAGATTGTGGGGTGGGAAAGAGGAAGAAAAGCACTCAGAGTTCAAAGAAAGAAAGCTAATATCTTTTGTTTGAAAATTATAGAGAAATCTTCCAGCACGCGGTTTCAGACCCTCGGTTATGCTTTTGGCCATGGCTGGAGTTATGACATATGGATTCTGGAAAGTAGGAAAGGGTATTCGGGAACAGAAGTATGTATTCCTTTCTTTCTTTTGTTTTGGGGTTTTGAGGATTGAGGGGGGATTTGTGTGTATGAGTATTCGATGGAAGGTTTCACTCCTGAGGGTTTTGATGAAATCCACGATATATCTTGGATGATTCCGAAATAAAGTCCGGAGAGCTTGGATATGACGTTGAATTATAAATTCAAATAACAGGACGCCTTTTTTTCCCTCGTCAGACGATTCAAATGAATGATCCACTAACAAATATTAAACAGTGAGCTTGCCCGTGAAAAAATGTGGTCTAGAATCCATTTGATCCCACTTTTGACAGCAGAAACCGATCGTGACCTTGTCAGAAGACATTGGGCTGATTTGAAGAGAGAAAAGGAATTGTTGGGTAGTGAGACTAGTCCATATAACAGTGACAGGTATGTTGTTTTCATTATCTATCTGGGAAGAGTGTTAGGAATGGAAAGGAATGGAGAAGGAGGGTGTTAAGAAGATGATGCTGATATTTCGGCATTATAGATACGTCAGACCTACATACGCAGTTACTCCTATTCAAGTCACCAAGGATTAAATTGGTGCAAGGAATGTTTGGGATGTTGAGATCTTGGAGGAGAGCAATTTTTGTGAGTGCGGTGGGCTGAGATGGACTGAGCTGAGCTATTGTTCCAGTCTCTGTTCGGTCTTCAGTCTACGGTAAAGTTTGAGCGAATGGGATGCATTAGGATGATGCGAATGGGGGATGTAGATAGGTGATTCATTGAAATAAGCGTAGTAGATGGAAGGAGCGGCAGAGAGGAGTAAAATGAAAATGAAATTCGAAAGTAAAACGAAAAATATATCGACCATTTTTCTGGGTTGTTGATTGCTGTTGGTAAGTGTGAAGTCTGAAAAGTTGGAGAAGGGGAGAGTCTGGAAAGTTCCTGGATCATGATGAGTGGGTCTGAAATTTAGATTGTATTGTATAATCTGAGAGCTCTGGAGAGAGTTCAAGAAATGGGAACGGATGAGCTAAAATGGCATCTGAAGGGATAGAGGGGAAGTGGAATGTAGAGATTCTGTGTTGAATTGAAGGTTTGAGATTGGGTTATGGGGTTGTTTGATTGATATTGGGTTTAGTGCCGACTGGGTCTTGGGGGAGGAAGAGGGGAAGTGGGAGAGGGGGAGGGGGAGGGAGAGGGAGAGGAAGTGGGAGAGAGTGAGTGAGAGGAAGTGGGAGAGGAAGTGGGAGAGGAAGGATAAAGAGTGGTGTGCTGTTTTTAGGGGTTGATTGGGTTGGATTGGGGAACAAGTTTGTGAGGCAAGCTTCCAAGGTTGGTGTTGTATGTGGAGGAGAGGTGAGGGATGGGATGTGAGTGATGAGATGAGATGAGATAGAGTGAGATTTACAGCTGTTACTTGCGGAGAGGTGAGGTGGGATGGGAAATAGGTTAGATGGTAGGAGAAAAGAAGGGGAGGGCAGTTGGAAGTGAAGGAGGAAAGCGATACGATGGCATGCCCCCGAGTCTTTTGAGAACTTGTTAAGCTATCCATAAAGTTGTTAAGTTATCAAGCTATGTAGACCTGAAGAATCTTTACATGATATAATTCACCATCTAGATGGTCCCTTCTCCTTCCTATCTTTCGTGACGGTGCTATAAAAGTATGAGGAATGGGGAAGGACGCGTGAAAGGAATTCGCTTCTCGAATACCTTTTGTACTTGTAGAATCTTTAACCTCTCGAGAATGATGCCTCTTTGTGGGTGGGCTGGATGGAGTTGTTATCTATCGACAGGCTGGTGGTAAGTTCGAATATTAGTGAGATTTCGAGTTTTGGTTGATTATGCTAGAGTTTCAACCCAACCCAGTATAGAAACTAGATACTAGGTATATCCATACTCGTAGGTGTGATCGAATTAGAGGGGTAGCGGGGTTTCTTTTTGTATCTGGGATCAAGTTTGAAAGTTCGAAATGTTACGGAGAGATCTGAAGTACCATGCATTTAAAACCAGAATTATGAATTAGAAATATCTGTATGAATTAGACACTTTTGATTTTAATACACACATTCTACTCGTATCACAATTGTGTATCTATTGACGTGAATTAAAAGTTAGGTAATAGAGCGGGGGAAGCTTAAACACCTTCCCTTTATCGTTATCATTACATATCGCGAAATGACCTCACCTCACAATCTATATCTATATCTATCTCTACTCACAACTCGACCTTCGCTTCAACGTATTCACATCCCCTTTCCTTCCAAACCTCACACAGCAAAAAACACATAAACAAAAACTCACAAAATGGCCTTCCCCGAACCAAAACTACTCCGCGGCAACGACCCATCCGACATATCCTTCGCCAGCGAAACCTACTCCCTCAGCAGCGAACAAATCCACACGCTCCAATCGCGCAGCGCATCCGCCAAATCGACCGCCTACTGCCCGTACTCGAATTTCCGCGTCGGGTCTACGATTCTCACCCACGATGGAAAATATATCGATGGCGCGAATGTGGAAAATGCAGCGTATCCGGTGGGAACCTGTGCGGAGAGAGTGGCGTTTGGGAAGGCGGTTACGGAGGGGCAGAGAGGGTTTAGGGCGATTGGCGTCGCGACCGATATTAGTCCGCCGGCGAGTCCGTGTGGAATGTGTAGACAGTTGTGAGTGTGGTTTTTTTTGGGTTTTTGGGTTTGGGTTTGCGTGCTGGGAGGTGTGGATATGGATGGGGGTTGGGAAATGGGAGGAATATAGGAGGGGATGAAGGGAGCTCAGAGCTCAGAGCTGGGATTTCTGAATTACGGGCTTGATGAAAGATACGGGGTTAAGAGAAACTGCTAATGTTTGTGGATAAATACAGTATCCGTGAATTCTGCGAGCTGGATATGCCAATCTTTATGTTTGACAAGAATGGGGATTTTATGGTTGCGAGGTTAGGAGAGGTATGTGCTACGTTTCTTTTTCGGACTTACTCCCTCCTAGTACACGCTTTTACTTGGGATTCTGTCTGTGGCCTAGAGGTTTGTTTGATATACTAATGTGATATGGCACATCTAGCTCCTACCATTATCTTTTGGACCAGAAGCACTACCACCGAGGGAAAAGCTGGCTGAGATTGAGAGGTGATATGATGAAATGGTGATGAAGGGTAGTAAGATTGAGATGTGATAAGATTGGGAGGTGCGTGCAGTAAATGCAAGTACTAGTTGTACATATACCGTGATCATAATTTTGGCTGCCAAATATTGTGATATGGCAAGGGCTTGGAAAAGGATCGGCTGGTTAGGTTGCTTCATGATATTTTGGTATCTGCGAGTATCCATTTACAAATTACTTCACCATCCCAATTGTCTTGTGTTTGACTCGAAAGTCTCCTTTTAAGCATAATGTCTTTTTGACCTTGTGCACATATTTACTTTGTTCTACTGGGGCAAGAAGTCTTGAACCGTTGATTCTAGGGTGGCTTCAAAATTTGGATATTTTGTACAAAACGCGCAAGTTCATTGAGTATCTAAGGACTTGGATTTGTCATCCAGCTTATGTGCGTTTAGAGAGCTTTCAGAGTAAAGATTTTGCAAAGTTGATTTGTTTATCAGCCTATGTTTTTCTATTTATATTGGATTGGTATTCACGTTCAGGTTCACAGTCACACTCTATAATATTTGAAAAGGCCATTATTGCTGGGTCATGTTGCTATATTCATTCAATATGCAATATAGCTAAGTAGCTGTGATGAACCATTTTTTCCAATCGTGGGTGGGTGTGATACTGCTGAGTTTTCATTCCATTAGAGGAAGCGAGAACCTGCCACCAGTAGTCTACAATTAGTTGATGTAGACAGTCTTTCCTGGCACAGCAAGGTATGACTCGATTCCTGTTCCAGCATTCTGACTTCTAGCTACTCTAACGATTTGATTGTCGGCCCTATAATTCCAGGTGTCGCTTCCCCCATTTGCTTTAAGAGAAGTCCAGAGCTCGCTTCCGCCCTTTTGAAAATCGTTCCCGTGGTATGTGACACTGACGGAAACGTCAGAGGTGGAGTTGTTGATTACGGTGATGGTATTGGCACCCATTTTTTCTATAAAGATGTTAGTACGGTTTGGTTGTCGATGTGTGGTTTATTGTAGCTTACTGGAGGCTATTTGATGATGACTGGTTTGAAATTAGTCGGGAGGTTTGATAGTTGATGGCTATATTCCAGATGTAAGCCAAGATACCTATCCAAGAAGGAGGAATATTACCTAGCAATGAAAGTTGCAAAAGATTTGTAGAATGGTGTTTGCTGTGAGGATCGTTTGAGTTTAAGAATTAGGTTCAATGCGAGGGATTCTGGAGTTTATATAGCTTCAATGGGTAGGGGAAATTGTGAAATCCCGCTTCAACAATGTACCAACTGATAGTCAACATTCCTGCTTTGTTGAGTAGATGTCAGACCACGCTATACACCACTATCAGCTAGCCAAGAAGAAACCTGCAAGTTGTAGATTGAAATTCTGCATGTGAAATGAACCCCTCAATTCAACACCAAATAATGCAAACCACCTAGTCAATCATTCTTTTACTCTAAACAATTGCAATTTTGGCATTGTGCAGTAGCACTCTCCGGAGATCATTTCTCCAATTGGCATCATTTCATCAAATGACCCACGTTCTTTCTTTAACGCATTGCGATATTAAAGCTGATGTGCAATGCTAATGATGCATGTAGCGTGATTGCCATTGTGACACTAATGCAAGTAATCGTATGCGGACCCGTCAAGAGTTTTCCCCGCACGTCGCAACTCTGGTTTAGATGGTTACGGAAGCGTTTCGGGCCTTGTCATCCTATCGATGCTTGTTTATCAAACATTATATTCTTCATCGTGGTGTGATGCTCATGACTCGCAAGTACCTGCATGCTACCCTATATATTCTGTTACGCTGCCATTGCGTCAGATACTGGCTCGTACGAATTATATCATCTCGTTAACTTTCAGCTCTTGCACAAACGCCACAGTTTATCTTCCTACTATCCCTACAGATCTCGGTAGTTGTTGGCGCCAGTTGGAGTGTGTCTCGCGCTGGATATTATCCCCTGTTTGTAACCGAGTAATTGATTGTTCCGAGATCACTACCCCTCTTTATCGGTGTCACAATCGTGTATTGTTTCTGATTTGTAAGTTACACAACGTATCACGACGTTCGTGTTTTCGATGATGATATGATAGCCATTCTTACAGGAGCTGTGTGAGCAACGAGGGAGTTGCAAATCTATTTGACAAGGTAATGGTATGAGGAAATGAATTCTTTGATATATTTTCTTGCTTTGCGGGTTGTTTCTGAATCCATTTGCTGGTACTTTTTGAAGCTGCATTGGATGTTCTATCTTGCTCATGTGATACTGGGTAGTTGGTACACTGACATTTCAATAAAGTCTCATGTATTTCGTTTCTTGATTTGACGTTCGTGCATATTTCTCGGCAAATGCGAGGACTGGCACGTAATAGGCATTATATGTGGTGTCTAGAGGTTCATAATTAAGCGGCATCTTGCAGCGATAATTAGTTTTGGGAGTAACTCCAATACCTAGGTAGCTGAGGTTATGATGTTTGGCTTGGAAGATATCAAGCATGATCTTCGGGAGATTTAGCGAAGGAAGATTTTAGACACGCAGCGTTATCATTTTTTGAAGGTGGGGGATATAGATATACACGACTTGGTATTTGGGGTGCGCTGATATGAGGATTACCGAGCCTTGTCAATTTGCTTGAGATATTACTTGCGTAAATTTCGCAATCGATATCGGAACTTGGAGGAAGGAATTAAATCATACTGCTTGCAATTGGCCTGCATTAACGATATGGATCAGGAGCGTGGAAGGATCCTAGAAGTAAATACGAAATCAAGAATGACTTGGGACAACTAAAGGGTGTTACTAATTCTTCTATTAAAGAACAGTCGTTTATGCATACTCTGTCTGCACCGATTCTGGGCTATCCTAAACGATGGATGTGGATGTGAGAAGAGGATCTCCCGGGGATCTTCGATAAAGATGTTCTGTATTCGAAGGGAAGTTGAGGAGAACGGCTTCGCTACAGATGGAATATGAGATATCTGCTTCATATCAAAGCCGCAACACACTCTAAGTATCTACTTTATGATGGATCTCCTATATCTTATTAACATTCGATGTGTCTATCACGAGTCCTGAGATCTTTGAATGGAGCGCAGCGGGTGATGAATCCAGCTGGTAAAATGAAGCTAAACACTTCAAGTCAAACTGTACAATGAAGCTAATTGCTACGCTTGCTAACCTAACGAACTTAGCTCAATGAGCCGCGCCATCAGGATAGCCGTGGCGGGGTAGTTTATCGTAACTTGAGTGGTTGATGCATCTCTCTATACCATGACGCTGAATGTGTGAAATATGGTGGGTGAAGCGGACCATGATGCTCGTCTACGAGTTTGTGTTTCGATAGTATGGTCATTTATACTGAGGAGTTTGTTCGCAGATTGGGGTAAGTAATAGCGGGAACGCTTTGGGGGTTTTCAATTGATATGTTGTATGAATGTTGATTCGGCTGACTTGAGCAGTAGGTTCGGTTCCAAATCACGTGCTCTCGTCCTCGATGCGAGCGGAGGTTTTGAGGGTAAAGTAGAAAGAAGTGAGATTGGTGATGATTATAGTGTTTCAGAGAACAATCTTTTTAGTGGAGTAAATAGGTTATTGGGGCACTTGGGAAGTATATTTGGAGTCTTCTCCTATTCTATTTATGACCCAGGATCCTTGAGGAGATAGATGGTACAAATATTCAATTTAAAAAAGTTCTACCAGTTAAAAAAATGATTCATTCTGGGATACATACAACTTTATATCCATTTACATTCTTCGCCGTCAACTTCCATTCGCCCTCCCAGTCTCTATAGTCACGACTTTCCAATCCCTTATACACCTGTGCAATCTTCGCCACGGTATACGCTGCCTTGCCCAGTACTTTCTGTTGTCCAACACAAGCCCGTAGTCCTCCACCAAATGGCATATATTCCCAAGAGGTTGGTTTGCAATTGAAGGAATCCCATCGATCTGGGTTGAAAGATTCAACATCGTTTCCGAACACTTTCTCGTCACGATGTAGAGCATACTGGTTTGTATATATCGTTGTACCTTTAGGTGCGAAGATTGGAGATTTTCCGTTTGTACCCCCTCCTCTTGGTAGTATTGTGTCGCGGAGAGCAATGTGGTTCATGATGGGGAATACAGGGTATATGCGAAGAGCTAGAGAGCCGGTTCATTAGTACATTCGTCTCACTCTTAAATTGCACAGAAAACTTTAACTTACATTCACGCAGGATGTTCTGAAGGAAAACGTAATCTAGTAGTAGATCGAATAATTGAAAAGACGCCTCGAGGTCCAAATATCGTACCTCATCTCGGAGTCTTTCATAAATGTCCGGATTGCGGGACAGAAGGAATAATGTGTTGCTGATCAAAACATACGTAGTACCTTGCGCTGCCATCATTCCCTGAATAATATTCTGACGTATCTCCATGCAATCATCAGTCTGCTTAGCGAGGCCTTCCAGAAGACTCTTTTGCAGTGGTGCATTTGAATTGTCTTTGTAGGCAGGTTCTTCCCGGGCTTTTTCTAACGCCTTATCGACTAAAACATCAATGTAATCATACACTTGCTTGTGAGCAACAGTTGTGAGTGATCTCGGGATCAGAAATTTGAGAGGACCTATCAGAAATGATACTCCCATGCCAATCATAGATGTATTGAAAGCTTTAATGAACTCTGTTGCTTTTTTTCTTTCATCTTCATTGCTGGTATCTAGGAGAATACCTATCAGAAAGTTCAAGGATGTTTCTAAGTACTAATTTCGTCAGTATCTTTTCGCTTGAAATCTTACTGAAGTGCAACATTTACGAGATTTGCTAGTAAAGGTTGCAGGTTGACAGTAGTATACCCATCATCTGGAATGTTTCGAAGGAACTGTTCAACGGCAACTCTGTATGCAGATAGATCCGAAATATTCGATTTGCTAAAAGTTGGTCGTAGAAGAGCTCTGGCTTTTTGCCATGTATCTCCATCTGTGGTGATGAATCCACGACCACAAAAAGGTCCCATGACAGATAGTCTTGAGGGCTCATAGCCCCAATCGTCATGATTCGTAGAATAGACTGCTTGAATATTTTCCTTATCTATACTTCTTAGTGAGGAAGTACCCAAGTTGATGACTTCAAATGTCTCCCCATATTTTTTGTGTAGACTTGCTGAGAAAGCGATTCTCTGATGGCGTAGAGATTGTTGTATCTCTTGAAACTTCAGATCCGTTCCAAAGATTGGATCGAGATGGGGATAAGTGAGTGGAATATCACAATTGTATTGTCGTGCGGTTTTGTTTCTCGTGACTCGTTGGTTGCTAATGGTGTACAATAAAAAAGCCGGAACCCCCACAAATATGGACAGGATGATGTGAAACATTGGAGAGAAAGTATTATCCGACCCGACGAAGATGGCGATGGTGAGGATGTCACATGATATTTATTAATTTCAGAGGAATGAAAGATAACTTCGTGTCTAGTGACTTGCAGCTTTGATTTTTCTACTTGGAGATAGCTAATCGTACTGATTCAACATCCAATGCAGTTGCTTCATGCATGTTGGTGGCACAATCATGATAGTCACCTTTCAGTTCTTGACCCACTGACTTATCATCACAGAATATTCAATATACATCTGCAGGATTAGAAGCATGACTATGTTTCTGTTGAGCCATGTCTTGCCATGCGTAGAAACTGCACCACAGTGTATATCTATTGATGTGAGCTCTGATAAATGATGGGTGGGATGTTCTTTAACACCCTCACAGTATTTCACTTCGTATGTCTCTCTCCTATTGCTAGTTGAACAGATAATGCAATTTTCTTGCACAGATGATTGAATTGACGTATTGAGAAACAACCACACCATCTCGCATCTTTATTGTCGCTTGCTCCTCAACTTCCAATGTCCACGAAGACTAGAGCTACTTGACGCCAGCGACTCTCCTAGATCAATAGCATCTTTCTGAAAAGATATGTGCGACTTTCTAGCATGGGAGTAATTAACCAGAGCAGACAAAATTTTGGCAAAATAGCCGTCTCGGATTCCTGTTATGTCTCCGAACTCCAGTCCTAAATTCTCTCTTCGTATCGTATATTATCATAAATCCCATTTCAAATTTCAAAGACCACCCAGTCTCCCAGCTTCATAACTCTTACACGTGCCTCGAATGATGTTGATACTTCATGCACAACTCAATCTTACATGAGACCTCGTATGAGACCTGTCATAAGATCTTACATGACAGGCCATAATCAAACATACATCACTGCACACTTGACGTATTTCACAACACCCAGAATACCCAGATTTTCTGTGACTTCTCTTTCACGTCTGAATTATTGTCGCATTCAAACCCACACATAATCTCCAAAAGCAAGATAACTCGCATAAAAACCTACCCGTAACACAAAGCGCTACACAACGCAACACAAAACATAAGACTCGACCAATCCGACTCAACGGATACTTGTAACCCATCCACGTAAAGCATGCGCAGAAGCGCGATAAACGGGTTTGGACATTTTGACGGGTGTCACTGTACACTTGATGCAATGCTGCGTATTTGGAGTGAAGTCAAGTAACACTATAGATGGATTGAAGATTAGATTGCAGAAAGATGAGTAGAGTGAATAAGGAATAAGACATTAGGATTTGAGACATTCGTAATGTTTGCAACGTTTTTGTGAAATCGTGGATATAAACTTTGTTCTGCCTGTGATAGGTAAGCGGAAATCGGCATTAGTTTTTGGTCACTCGTAGAATCTTGATTGAAAATGGCTGATCAAAGTCAAAAACACATAAAGTTCACTGAAAACACTTCATCAAAACATATGAACCAGTTTGAAAGATTGAGATATCATGTTTGTTATCATGACATACCTAGGTCGGTACCCCGCAAAAGCTTGTTTGCGGGGTTTCCAGGTTAATAATTCATTGCAGATCTGAACATGGATAAAGATAACGCTGCATGCCTCGTATGGCCTGTGTGCGCGGCCCCCACAAAGCTTGTGTTTCCAAATAATCCTGGTGCCGTTTTCTATATGAGATTCGTCTCTCTTCTCACCCCTGCTAATGCCCATTTCACATGGCTTCATGCATATACGGTAGATGGCTCGCTGCCGCTGGTAATTTGCAAACTATCCAGTGACAACTAGGGAAGGGAATTTGCTTTTTATGGGCCAATGAGTATTTCTGTCTCTTACAATGAACCGTTAGATATGCCTATGATATCCAAAACAGAGAAAAAGCTTCCACACAAGCGATTCGCGATCATGTAACGTCATACTGGTAACGTATCTCATGGCTCAATCAAGATGATCACATTTTGGATACCCTATGAAGACCCGTTAACATATCTCCACATCGGTATGCTTCTTATTGTGTGGGCGATTGTCTCCAGAGAAATCAAGTACCAGATAATGTATATATTCGGTATGCCATATATTGCAACCAATCTGGTTTCTCGTTTCCTCTCATCCCTTCTGTCTATCGTTTGCCGAACTTGCCCCCACAGATCGGGCGCAGATACGAACATAGATATAGATATGGTGTCTCTTTCACCCTTTGTTTTCTTGTCATCATCTTTTTCATGTTCGAGATCTGGTTCTAAAACGCGCTCAAGAATTAAGTCAAGATTTCCACCAAAGATTGCAGAACGAACCTCGTATACGATATATTGTGCAGAAAATTCTTCTCGTGAACAACTTCTTGTTCCTTCAGATCACAGAATCGCCGAACCTATTCAAAGCTACCAAGAATCACATCGATCTTCACTTAGCCAAAATTGGCACTTGTCAAATCACTCGAAAGGCACCAAAACCGAGGCGAATAATTCAAATAGGGAATTTGGGAGTTATTATCTGCTTGCAGTGACACCAAGACCTACTCCCTCAACGACAAGATCATTACCAGAAAAGAGACAGTCGATAAGAATGGCATCAAGATTTCCACCTTCTGATGAGGGGATGAACAATATTTCTGGGGAATCCTTTGGATCGGCAACAAAAGATGTACAGGGCGAACGACGCAGATCATATGGCATTGGTGGAGCGGGGAATATTCGTAGGTGATCTTTGCTCTTCCTCCTCCGCTTGGATATAATGACATCTCAATGAATTAATCTGACAGTCATAAACATATAGGTAAACCATCCGAGGTGATTTATACTCCGCGAGAGAGACGTAGATCTAGTGCCCTCAGTAGTCCCTCGATTTCTCCAACCATCTCTCCCGATACGAAGAAGGAAAACTTCTTGTCGTGGTTTGGGATAGGAATTGGCAAAAAGAGATGAGAAATAGTACTTGAAAGACGTGAGAGCTGTGCTTTGAAAGGGAGGGAGAAGATAAGATTAGTGATTGTAATGCCTGTGTTGATGACGATGGCGATGATGATGGATTATGGTGAGGGCAATTAAGCCAATAAAATGGACTTTGAGTTTGGGATATACAATGGAGAATTGGCAATGAAAAAGGACAAGATGACAGCAGCGATTTTGCCAACTTGAAGGATTTATTAAATATGGAATTGATTACTTCGAGATGCAGAACGAAGGTTCTTTTGACATAGCCTCTTTAATAATTCCGAACCAACTCTGATCATGATTATAAACTATAGGCCTTGAGATGTTGATGGCAATGAAATGATTTGCCATGAGGAGTGTGTCCGTCAATATCTGGAATATCTATATATGCATGGTTGTAACATGGCAAGGCATTTTCGTCCGGTTGCAAATATACGAATACGAGAGTTGTTGGTTTCCACTAGAAAGCCTGATCAACATAGCCTGAAGGTAGTTCAGCTCTTGAGGGGAAATCGAGGATGCTTCATAGCAAAAGAGATGAAGATGAATATGAAGGAACCGAAAGGAGGTGTATGTACCTAGGTAGGTAATGTGTTACAGTTTTATACATATAATCTACCTACATCGTATGCCATTTCTTGTCTTGTTGACGTCTCCACGTGACTCAATCTCGAAGCGGGACCAGATTATGTAAGCATGGAAGATTTGGGGATTCAATCCAGATCTTTTGCCACGCGGGTCTGCTTCTACAGTTCTACTAGGTACTAAACCAAAACTGTCCGTGCCACCAACAACACTAGTACAGTACAGCCTCTCAGCAATGCAATACAATTGGTAGCTACCAGGTAGGTAGGTAATAAGGCGCAGGGAGGCTCGGTAGGTGGATGTTCAGGTGAATCATTCAAGGTTCCTCTATCCAAATTCGACCTCTTGAAGAAGAAACCGCCTCCATCTACTGCAATGCAAATACTTAGTCTATTTCTATTGACTAGGACTGGTATCTTCATTGAAGTTCAACTTGGTATCATTTACTCTTAATCCATAATAAATAGCAACGGCAACATCAAAATCTACAGCGGGAAGTATGTTTATACCTGCAAACATCATTTCCCCGTTCATCGTAAGTTGTACGCAGCGGCAACTGCTCTTTTGCCACTATACTTCTTATCAGAGCTATCAGATCAGATCACTAACTTCAATCCTTCTCATAGTATCAATACCATATCAGAAACTACACCTAAGATAACTTTTTCGGCTTGAGCATCTTTTGCTAGGTCGATCCGCACATTAATTACATGACCGAATCCCATACATCCCAGCCATGGGACCTGACTTGTGCCATCGAGCTTCATAGTCTCCTATCCGCTTCGACTTTAAACAGCGATTTACCATATTCTTACTATTTCCTACCTGAAGATGAGCCCTCATCAGCAGACAGAAGTGCACGTACCTTGGGTGATTTCACTCCAATATGGAATCACTTAGGTGTCGATGCTACGACAACTTGTCAAGATCCTGATGCTGAACCAAATGAGTCAGCACTATCTTCTTATGCTTCTGAAGGGCTCTTTTCTGATCTTAATAGTCTGCCATCTTCTGCGACGGATGATTCAGATATTCCGGATATCTACCAAGACTATGTTACAAAGACAAGGACGGTACGATGGAAAGATAAAATTCAAGGTACGAAAGCTCCGAAACTACAACAACAGGGGACACGAGCAAAGGCCAAGGAAGATTTGATATCTTTCCCGGGAGAGACCTCGGTAGGGCAAATCTCTCAAACGAAAACAGATGTTAGATCTCCCTTTCCTGCAGATCGTCTTTTCAATATCCAACCACCGAGAGTACATAAACAGACACGGAGGCAGGTATTGTCTGATTCATGGACGGATGAGAATGAGAGTAGCGGACTTGAATCAGAGGTGGAAACACCTTCACGAACGAAATCTGCAAAATACCTCAGCGATGGTCCTGTTATCTTCGATACCCTCGAAAATAAGAATACGGCCCTCAAAAAGGGCGTCATATATCCCCTTCACCATTTGACACACGAAGAAAAGAGATTCAGGATAGT